CTCCCGTGAAAAAAGTTTTCTAAACAAAAATCACTAAGATGTATTTAATAATTACCAATGTTTTTTTTAAGAAACCTTTCTATACTATCTACATAAAAGCAACTGCTGATATCAAGCAGATCATTAATCAATCTCTAAGTTATTATCAAAGGTTTTACAAAAAAAAAAAAAAAAAAAAAAAAAAAAAAAAAAGAAAGAAAGAAAGAAAGCTTTTAGACTTTATATTACGCTCAAAGGGGCGCTTTTTTTAACGCTTTTAGTGTTACCTTTATTTATTAAATATCATGTTATTCGCACTTAAACCATAAAATTCAATTCAACATGAATATCGAAAAATAATTTTAAAAAAGCATATCTTTAGAATTTCCGATACAGCCTCGCAAGCTGAAGATAAAAATGGGTTCCTCCCCCCCATACAATGTTGCCATTGCTCACTGAAATACATTCCAAATTTTGAGCTTCCAGATACCCGTATTCAGACATATTCAAAATTTGATGGCTCTAGCTATTGTCGTTTTATCACAATGCAAGAAACATGCAAATACTTATGCAGATTCTTCATCATTTAATTTCTTTAAATATAATATAGGGCGATAATATTTGGCGACAACAATCTGAAAAGTGATTCAGACTTTTTGATGCAAAATGCCAAAACGAAATTAATAGACCTTCTGGGCTAAAAACAAGCAGAATAAAAACATGATTTTAAAGTTTTTCTTTAAAAGTTCTAATTTATTTCCCTATATGTTATTTTTATATTTTTAAAGTTAATCTGCTTGCATAACAAGAGGGGAAACGAATTCAAAGACTGACCTGGAGGGCAAAAGCTCTAGTTGCACTGCTGCACAAAAATTTATTGTTGATAACCTTCAGGCTAATTTTATTGTTCCTTTCAGATTTTAAAAAATAGATAAACAAATGGAAAATCTTATTAAATTAGTTGCTGTGGCCTTTCAGATGTTCTCAGGTTAGTTTTGTAATTCAAAGTAGAAATACCTTCATACCAAAATTTCAAGCAGTTCATTAATGCAGCTTAAACAGCAAAGAAATAATTTGATAATGAAAGATAAAGCAAATAAGAAACATATGAAAGATTGATTTATTAATTTTCTTACAGTTAAAATACATAACGGAAGGTCGTCCTGAAATAATATGACAGCATGTTTATCCACCAAAGCTGGCTAATATATAATGCTTTTCTATTCAGTCATAGTTTGTTTATGCACACACACACACCACAAAAAAAAAAAAAAAAAAAAAAAAAGACAAAATGCTTTCAAGTGTCCGTAATAAAATGATCATCAGTTTCTTCACAAACAGCAAGGGTAGTGAATCTTTTTATATCTACTGGTGGGTAGTAAAATTTCTTTACTACGCACTGGTTTTGCAGTAACTTAATTTAGCTTAAATGCAAAGTAATTTTTTGAGTGGAGATATAGTAAAAATATATATAGTTAAATTTATCCAGTTATTTAGATTTTGCTTATATTTATAAGAGGTAGAAAATTTATGTCCCGTGTAGGGAAAATGCTTTGGCTAGGAAATTTTTAAAGGAGGAGGAATTTGTTTCTCATAAGAATTTCTCCTAGCTTCACACTTTGTTAAGATGTCATAATCCCATTATGCACGCTATAGTCACACAAAAACAACTAAGAGAAGTGGCAAAGCCTTTTAAATGTATGGGAACAGGAGAACGGACTTTCATCATTGAATGGACAAAAGCTTATACCACCCACCATTAAAGCTTAAATCGCCCACTAGTGGGACCAGATTGACTATCCCCGACACGGAGTATAGACTTCTATCTTCTTTGTTACTTAACCTACATCCAGTAGGTAAACAGTGGTAAGTAAACATCTACAACTATGGTACAGAGCCTAATTTCCAAGTTACACTGCAAATACACAAGGGAGAGGGAAAAAAATTTTCAGCATGTTTAAAACCGGTATCACATCTACTACTTATCATCAATGGTGCACTGGAAAAACACTTTTCTGCAAATTTTCATTTTCAAGCTATCTGACTTATGTTAAAACCAAATATTTTTTGGAGAAAGGAGTGAAGGACACAAATTTAAACAAAACAGTTTCATCTTGATTGTGAAATATCTAGTTTAGCTAGCCAGGACATCATTTTGGCGAAACCTATTTTAGCTAAGAACCCTCCAATGGCAAAAGAAGGAAAGGCTTGTTTCTCTTATGGTCAGAGCTGTGAAGTCGGAGTCATGGAGTCGGGTAGATTTTTGGGTAAAAGGAATTCGAGTCGCTAAAAAGCACGTCGACTCTGACGCCAGTTTTTGTTGGACAGTTTGAATTTGAAATGAAATTAAAGTCAATTGAAAAAAATTAATGACAAACTGAGTTAATATTTTTATTTATGGACTATATAGATTAAAAAATAGTTATTTTCTATTTTACTGACATATTAGTAAATAAATATAAGGGAGCAAGATGGATGTGATATTTGCCATTATTGATTAAACTGATTCATTTAGTTACTAATCTCATTGGTGAATTGAGGTAAGCAGCAAGAACAATAAAATTGATGCAATTTTAGGAAGCAAGCAGGAAAAGGAGCAACAAATTGGAGAAGAACATATTTTATGATATAGTGGTTGTTAGGATTAAGAACTTCTTCAGAAGCTGTAAATAATCCTAATATTTCACTAACAGAAAGACTGTAGAATGATCTTGCAGAACTGGAAATCTTTCTTTCAACACCATATATATTCACAAAAAAGCTACAATCTGAAGAATTAACATGAGACGAGAATGTTAGAAGATGTAGATAACGTTAACGTTTCACTAACAGAAAGACTGTGGAATGATCTTGCAGAATTGGAAACTCTTCTTTCTATACCGCACATAGCCACGAAAAAGCTACAATCTGAAGAATTAATAAGAGGCAAGACTGGAAGAATGCAATGTTTGTTCTTTCTGAAATGGAAGGTTCATTGCAGAAGGAATCATTTCTTCAATGAAGAAAAGAGAAACTAGTTTGCTAGACAATAAGATCGCGCTGAGTTCAATATATGTAGATCCAAAACGCCGAATTTTGTTGGATGACAAACACATTAAAAAGGCAAAGAAAGGCATCTATAAAATTTCATTAAAAATGAAATTACTCTTAGAACAACTGGAGTATTCAAATCAGGACAGTCAAACTGCAGATATTGCTACTGAGTCTCTATCATCTTCTTCCACTGATGAATTAGATTTTGAGAAATATTTGGATAATATTGAAAAGGCTAAGGCAAAGTGAATAAAAATAAAGCTGTTGCAAGACACCTCTTTTAGGCTGCTATCACACATCGGTTTGTTTCGGAAGAACAACTGTTTGGAACAATTTTTCTGCTTTGTCACAACAGCCAATCACCACAGATCGCTTTGGGGTTAACGCAGGGAAAACTGGTTCCCCATTACACACAAGGTGATAGCATTCGAAGCTGATAGCTGATTGGTTGAAAACAAACAACCTGCAATTTTTTTGGAAATGAAGGAAAAAGTCGCGCGTCTTTATTTCAATAGTAAACCAGGCAGAAAAATTGTCTGAAACAGTTGCTCGTGTGAAACAAACACCATGTGATATGGGCCTTAGAACTTACAAAAATCTATTCTGAAAAGTTAAAGGAAGTAGCCGTAACAGTAACAGCTCTTCTTCGACTTCTCAATTCTGAAGTTTATCAAATCGGATCTATGGTTCTCTATCAAAGAAGATCTTGCCGAAGTTTTACCGTTTCTTATAAATTAGTAATGCCAGTTTTTTAATTTCATAATAAATTTGCTATGCATCAATTTTTATCTGTAGCTTCTACTACTTATCGTCCCACTGTTCTCACTTATCACATTGCCAGATGTGATAACTCTATTACTTTTTTGAGGACGCTTATGGATGGAGCAATAATTTTATCACAGGGAAGAAAAAAGACAAAACTCATACTGCAATCATGTAGTAAATCTGAAATTTTATAAAATATTTGAGCCTAATATTTATGTTAATAAAATAAGCATTACAACATATATTTTTAACACCAATTCTTACACGTATAAACTAGTTATATTTGGACAATATTAAAAAATACTATGAAATCAAGTTTTCTATTTGATATATTCTATTGCACAAGCTCAGTCTCCTCTTTAATGCAATACCTATTGTGCTATAACATGTTTATGAATTTAGAAGAAAAATTTCTATAAACTGATATTTTTAAATATTTATGTAGACAAAGGACGTGAGTTTACGTATGTATCTCTGGAAAATCACAAGTATTCCATAAATTTACACAGTTTTGCTATCATGAGATTGTTTCAGATTTGATTTAATGATCAAAACTCATCAAGTTAATGCCTTACTTATGTGGCATCTACTGATTCAATGATTATAAAATACCATTATTAATCATTACCAGATTTTAGAACACAGCTCAATGACTATCAGAAGTTGAAACAGCGCTGAATAATGTTCCAGCTCTTTAAGCAATTATATTTATCTTACTGACGAATGCTAAATATCTGAACACAACTAAGTAGAAAATATTAAAATTTTTATGTACGGCCAATAAGAGACAAAGAGGGAGACCTATAGTTTGCTATGGATCTGCTTCAATGCTGTTGCTCATTTCAACAATATAACAGATTAAGAATGGGCTATATTTCAAAGATTTTGTATCAAAAGTGAAATTTTGTGAGCTACTGGTGCATTAGACTTTTTCATCAAAATTACACTTTTACCTTTTGCTGCCTCAAATACTGAACCTTTCAGTTTGAGAAACATCACATGCCTTTAATCCAAATTAATGAACCATTACACCTGTTTTGTGCCCTTCAATTCCAACAAGCACACTCTAATAATAACATAATTTAGCCATAATCTTACACTTCCCATATTGCATAAAATTTGCACACTTTGTAAATCCCAAAGGTCAGTCATAAATGACATGGTTCATTTAGTCTATAACTGATACAACCATTAGACAAATTTTTAACAAAGGCAACAACAAAAATGGTGTCAAAGCAGTTTATTTAGTGATTGCTGTCTTACTTTCAAACTGAAATGAAAATAATGAATGTCAAATTCTAGTTATACATAGATAATACTTAGAAGTTCTACAATACAACAGAAACTAAAATAATTTAAGCACTTCATAATAAAATTTATGAACATTAAGTGGTGCAAGTCTCAATGCCCAAATCTTTAAATGCAGCATTTCTTACAAAGGTGTAGGCAATTTTGCATATAATTATAGCTTTATAGTCCTTTTCTCCTTAATCCCCATTGTGCTTTCAATACAAGAAATTTATCATTAAAAATTAAAATTAACAACAAACTAAACTCATTTCTGCATTTAGAGCAAAATTTACAATTGACTAGCACCAATAATGTCTAATATATCTCAGTCAGCAGCATATATTTGTTCTTAGAAAACAAAAAATTAATAACAAATAGACGGAAGAATGTATTCACAAATAAAATCAATATGAACATTATGTAAAGCATGACATTTCTACAAAATGAAAATAAACATACTAACACGAGTTCAGTCATGAAATATTCCAACCCAGCTTGAAATAGCCATGCCAGATATGTCACGAGAACATATGAACACTGCCATAAACATTTTAAGGCAAAGTTACATTTCAAACACTTCAGAAACAAAAATACAATTACTTTGTATACGGCAATATATCCAGTATTGCCTTAAAAAGCGTGTCAAAATAAACATTTACAGATGGAGAAAAATGCAGGCAAAAATTCCAAACACCACTACTAATATTGTTTACTTTAACCAAGTCTTCTATTTGCCCATTTTTATGCATATAATACTAGGATTTCTCAGCTAACTGCATTGAATATAAACAGAATATAGAAAATTTAAAAGGCACAAAAACAACATGCCTTTTCTTAAAATTAATAGCACATTTTAATAATAATCAGTCAGTTATTGCAGACCTTTTACAAATGAATATCTGAAAAATAACATAGAGGTATCACAACATTAAAAGTTACTTGCCCTATTAATTTATTCGATGGTTCTGGAAGGGAAGTATGCCAACTTAAGCTTTAAAAATTAGGCAAAATTTAATCTCAAACTGACATTAGTATTTTATAAAAGTTGGGAGTATTCTTACAAGATATAATATAAGTCCACATGATTCTGTAATCCAAAGTTTTTATGTAATGCAATGACAACTTAAGGTCGAATTCTGCCTAATTTTAAATTATATGAAAAGAAACAGATGTCAGATCGTTAGTGTTATTATACATGTTTAGGCATTCAAAATATTTTAACATGTCCAGTACAGTTGAAGAAATCACTTCTATAAAATTTGTTAATTTTTTTAGTCTTCAAATTATAAATTAATGCCAAAAATTGTAATAAAAGCCAAGGCTAATGACAAAATTTTGCACAATTATTTTAATTAATACATAATGAATGATGATGGCAGTTGAAAAGACATGAAAACCTGAACACAATACAAATAATGAATGAAAGAACTATGAGTGGCTTCTGGATGAAACACTTTCAAGAGTCGAATTAAGTCATTTATGGTTTATTACACAAATATGCAGGATGCAAAGAGTTATGGGACGATGGAAAAAATTATGAACTGCACTCACTGTACAGATACCTAATCACGATTAAGATACATACTCCAGAGACTCATTAGACTGGTTTGTATTATCTACACTACACATTCTTTCTGCGGCAAAGGAGTTTTTTGCGAAACCCGCCAATACAGACACAGCAACTTCAGAAGCACTCTCAAAATCTATTATGTTTGGACTGGGATGATCAGAGTTTGCAAATGGTGATGCTTGCCTGTGTTGGTATTGAGATATCACTTTCACTGTGCTGTAGCGATTCTCCCGAAATATCATAATAAGATACTTCCTCTTTGATGTGTAACATCTCATGTCTGTTCCCACCATTCCTATTAACACAATTAGGACATATGTAGTCTTCTGACTCACTGACTTCTGTAACATCCAAGCCAACACAAAGAAGATGAAACCACTGTTCACAACCTCCATCGCACTGCACCCAATTCACAGCTTCACCTGTAAATGATAGTTATATATGAGGTTATTGCACTGAACATTATTAAAACATTAGTGCATATCAGCGAAAAAAAATATTCATGGGGAGGAACAGTATTAACAGAAAAACCCTTTTTTTAATATATTTATTACTTATTTTTATATATTACTTTTATGAAAAATGTGCTCAATAAATTTTCAAATAGATATAAATTATTAATAGACAATAAACTCAATATCTTTAGTTTTACAATATTTATTATTTTTAGAATTTAAAAAAGTTTTAAAAATTTAATATCTAAATAAACCTCAAATTGCATTTTTAATATACAGAGCCAATAGTAAAAAAATTTTTCAAAGGAATTTATTTTATATGCAGGATAGTTGTAATTCACTCATGAGACAAATGTGTAACACCAGGCTACCTAGGTTCAAGACCTTCCCTTATTGAACAAAATCTGTTCCTTCCTAATTCATACAAGCATTAACTAAATTTTGTGCATTGAAATTGTGCATATCTATGCTAAGTTTTTTTTTTTTTTTAAAGTATTATTAATTGCTGTAATTGTTCAGTTGCAATTGAGCAAAATGTTACAACTATTGCTATTATAGGGGTTTTCAACCAGGAGGGGGATTTATAGTTTCAGGGAAGGGGATGCGGAAAGTATTTAGTTTTAGCCTAATATAAATACTATTTTTATTTTGGTATTTATCAACATTTTCTGCAACTTTTTTTTGTTCAATTTATAAAACAAGTTAAAAATAAACTAAATCTAAATAAACATAAATGTATTTTGAGTTTACAAAACTCAAAATACATTTATGTTTATTAGACAAATACATTTAGAAGAAAGAGGGGGGATGATCTTCTAGCAATGGGTAAAAGAGGTGCATTGGGAAAAACAGGTTGAGAACCACTGTGCTATCATTTAACAGAATTAAGCAACAAGAATCATCTCATACAAAGAACAGAGTTCATGTACACAGAAACAAATTCAATGTATTAATATCAGAAGTGTAAAGCAAAACGGCATGTAAATTGGGAACTATTTTTGAGGGCAAAAGGGCTTAACTACGAAGATTCACGGTAAAATTAAGGAATACATCAGGCAAACACTATGTGACATTCAGCCATGAACTGGTGCCAGCACTTTGAACATGATCACAAAGACCAGATTGGTCCTGAGCGATACGTAGAGCCATCAATAATGATCACATATGAAAATGGGCTATAGTTTGATGATTTGATATGCAGAATAATTTTAGAAATTGCACAGGCACTGATTTGGTGGACAACAATTGCCAGCTGTATATAGTATATATGAGATGAAAGAATCCAGTTCTTAGTAGAAATTTGACATTAAATGAGTGCTTGACTAGAGAAGACATAGTTACGTTACATGCGTAACTGGATTGGAGTAAAGAGAGCACTGAAATGTCAATTATATTGTAGAAGATGGCAGGAACTATTGAAGAATTACAAATCATTTGATATTCAAAACATATCTTTATTACTTTTTGGCAAACTTATTTTTATTACTTCACGGCACATCACAATGGGGACAATTTGCACCCTACAATTTTGATTATGATGCATTACATTTTTAACAATGGAGCAGCCAAACAAGAAATCCTTTAACTAGCAAACATAGGCAGCAAAAGAGAATGTATAGTTGGATTGCAATGGTATTTTTTTAAGATGGTTCAACTAGAATTTGAAGAAACTGGGTTTTATTGTATCCATAAATATCATACATTATAGCAACCTTTTATATTTCAAAAGGAAAACAAACATTAACTTACCTATTGGACGAAGACAATTTGCAGCAGAGCACAAGTCATCTGGTTCATTTTCCCTAGTCTCTCCTTTGCCCGAGTGCATTTTTCTTTCCATCTTGTTCCTGGTAGAGGTTTTCTTCAGCCTTTTCTGCGAATTTTTGTCAAACAATTTTGCTCTCATTTTTACAGTTTTCACAGTACCATCTTTCATTTCTTTTTTGAAATGAAAAGTACTTTCTCTTTTAGAATCTTTCATGTCACTCTTTGATTTGAACTTTTTGTGCTTAAGGCCACCAACATCTCCGCTGTTTGGATTCCCACTTGAATGTGAATTAGGTCCAAATAATTTTCCACCTAATCTAAGTTTCTTTTTCTTCTGCTTATTTTCTTTTAGCTGAATTTTTAGTCTGCTTTTAGTTTTTGCTATCTGTATAAAAAAGTACAACAAAATCAAAAACAATATAAGAAGTCAAAATTTCTTCTGTTAAAACACTTTTTCTGTTAATTTGAGGGTATTATGCTCCAATAGTAGCATAAAAAATTAACTTTAAAAACATTAGTGATAATGAAATTCATTTTTTAACATTTACTTACATTATTATTAAAACTACTTTCAGTATACGAGTAAAATAATGATTTAATTTGTAAACACATAACAAATAATACATTAACTTTTATTTTAAGTATACATGCATTAAATACGCAAAGAGAAATACGTCTTCTTTTACAGCATGGCTTCTCAAGCTCTTCCACTTCAACACCCCTTTTACTTAAGCAAATATTTTTATGACCCTGGCTGTAGAGATACATACGCTAAATATGAATTAAAAATTTTTCTGATAATAAATTACAAAGAAAATTTATTCGAAAACGATGGTACACATACAAATATAATTTCACTATGTATTGAAGACAAAGCTGAATTCATAGTAATCGACAGGGCCTGCTTGTTTATTTTTACATACGGACTTTAATCTTAAGAATGATTGATATCTGATATTTTGCAGGATGGAAGACTTCTTTAACATTTTGTAGATTTGGCCAAATTTTTTTTATTTTATAAATAGCAATGTTGAAAATGCCACGCTGAATTAATACATAGTACAAAATGTCAGAAATATGTTTAGCGTCATTTCAAAAAGAGTCAATTATTTATCGATTGTTTAAAAACACAGTTCTAAATTGCTAATATTAATCATTTCAATTAAGCATGATTTACTGCCCTTTTGAGAGCCACTGTACTTCTCCATGTAACAGTAAGATTTGGTAATTGGAATTAATATCTTTCCAAACGTTTAAAAATAGACTTTTTTACAGTTTTCCCAGTACCATCTTTCATTTCTTTTTTGAAATGAAAAGTACTTTCTCTTTTAGAATCTTTCATGTCACTCTTTGATTTGAACTTTTTGTGCTTAAGGCCGCCAACATCTCCGCTGTTTGGATTCCCACTTGAATGTGAAATGAGGTCCAAATAATTTTCCACCTAATCTAAGTTTCTTTTTCTTCTGCTTATTTTCTTTTAGCTGAATTTTTAGTCTGCTTTTAGTTTTTGCTAATAGCTTTATTTTCTTTTTTTAAATGAAATAAATAATTTTTAATATATCGCAAATTTGGTGCTAATGTTGTGGACATGAGAGCTTCCCAATTAAACAGACATGAAGTAATAGAAATACTGCATCTGTAATAGTGTCAAACTGATTTTTAATTAGTGTTCTGTTGTTGTGTATGCACAGGCACAAGGAAGTGAATGGTCACTCTAGAATGATCACTCTGAAATTTTTGAGATACCGATAGGTTTTTAAAGTTATACTTACAAAATTTTATGAGTGCTTAACCCTGTGTGGCATGGTGGGTCAATATATGTCCCACCTAATTAATATTTATTTTCTCAGTTAGCAATTTCCGTTAGAAAATTTCTAATCTTTTAAAAATAATCTATTTTAGTTATTATTTTTCTCAGTAGATGTCATTACTATACCAGGGCTTAAGTTTATAAGCAAAAAATATTCAAAATAGGATCACAAGAGTGATATCCATGTATCTCGCATTTTTCAATATTTAAAAAATTTTGGTATACAATTTATGATATGTATGATTCTTTTTAATATTCAAAGGTATTTTATTTTCAAAAATCTTAATTGGATTCAATATTTTATAACATTAATTTTGCAGGTGAAATAAGTGGGTTAAAATTTGTCCCACCACGCACTTGAATTTCCGCTCAATAGATGGCAACACTCACGATTATTTTTTCTTTTCTTTTTGCATCTACTTTTTTCGTCATTGCGGGCGCTTTTACATCCGTTGTATGCTCTGATGTGCAAAATTGTCTAGAAAAAAATTAATAACTCAGGAAGCTTTGGATCTTTTTGCTTAATTACCATCCGATTGCAACTCAAATGCTTCAGGTGTCTGTTCTGATTCAGATGAAATTGAAATCCAAGAGAGAATAACTGAGGTTGAAGTTATTGCTGAAGAAGAAAGGGAAGTAATTATAATTTGTTTCGCTTTTAAAGACACAGACCCATCTATGCATGTCGCTGCCATCTATGCATGTGGCACTGTAAAATATGAATCGGAAGTATCTACCCACAAATTTATGTCAAGAGAATATATAGACTTTTCAGTTAGCGATGATTCAATTTATTGCATAAAATGGAAGGATAAAAAGATCCGTTTCTATCCTGTCTTGCTTGGAAAAGGCAACTGAAATGAAAGAAATTAATAGAAAAGAACGAGATGGAAAGAACAATAACAACAACAACAACAAAAAAAGTACTGTGCCCAAACAGCATTATTTCATACAATAAGAATATGGGAATATGTCGACTTATTTGATCAACTGAAAGGATTATATGAAATAGGCCGCAAAAGCAAGAAATGATGGCACAGGATATTTTTTTACCTTTTTACATGCGAGTATAGTAAACACATTTATTCTATTTAAGTTTGTTCGCGAACCCGATCATGATTGTAAAAACAATGAAAGATTTTAGTCTCTCAGTTATAGAAGGTCTAATGGCACTTTGCAGGCAAGAAAGAGCTGAAAAGATGAACTGAAATCCCCAGTTCAAATAAAAACTAAAAAACCCGTTCGTACAACCAGAAAAGAGACTAAAAAATGTAAGTTACACACGCAGAGAGAACGGAGCAGCAGAAGAATGTGCATATTGCAGCACATCGAAAGAAGAACGCCGAACATTTTGGATGTGTGAAACATGTGAAGTGTCCTCCATACTTACAAAAGATGAAACAACATGTTTCTCAAAGTTTCTAAAATTTAAAAATATTAAATATATATATGCAAAATTTTACAAGTCATGCATATATGCAATAAGTACAAAATGCATTTTAGTGTGTTTATTATGAATATTTTAGAATGCACGCTTTATTTTGTTTATTCATTCCACATATGAATTTTTTTTTCCTGCTATACACCAATATGCTATAAGACGTGCTAGTTGCATGGTGGGACAAATGGTATCCCACCTTCCCCTGTAAAAACTAAAAGCGCAGAATTTTTTTCAAGCCTTAAAGGCACTTAAGTAAGTCCATCTGACTTATTCTAAGGCATTTTTTTAAAGATTAAAATATATTTTACATATGCGTGTCGCAAAGGGTTAAAGGAGTCTCCTCCAGCATCAATGCACTTCCGCAGGCAAATTTTCTAAAGATTAAATGTCCAAAGCCATTCATTTCTTGGAATCAATGAAAAATTACATCTATAGCCTTACCAATCTCATCTTCAGGACGAAAATTATGTCCATGTAAGTTCTTTTTAAAATTTTAAAAGCTGCATAACAGCACATGTTTAGAATTCCTGATGCAGTGTTAAGTGTTGGCAATATATATATATATATATATATTCAGTGTTGTTTAACTTATCCTATCAGTGCTCAATTTTTTAAATCAGATGGCTTATAAAACTTTGTCTTTTTACTATTAATGTATTGTGTGTTAATTTTATTTATCAAATACTAGCTTTACCCGCGGCTTCACTCGCATTGATGTCCTTAAATAAGTTTCAACTCCGCATAAATTTTAAAAAATACACTCCGCGTAAAATTTCAAACAAACATTAGATACATTAGGAAACAAACATTAAATAAATCACAAAAGTCGAAATGTTGATAATAGTTTCAAGTCGATAAGTTAATTAGAAATTATTAATTTTAAAATGATTTTCCACATGTAAATCCATGAACTTTGACCTTATCACCAACCCAATGGTCGACCGAATACCAGCTTCCCCCCTGTCCCTTTCAAATCACAGCCTGTCAACAAAGAGTTACAACAGCAAGTGGAGTATTGTTTCATCTGTGATTAAGCTGGAAATAATTAAGCGACAAAAACAGTTACACCACCATTGTTCCTATTATTCAGAGAGCAACACAAGTTTTCTAAATTTCGAGAAATTTGGATAATTAGATCAAGAGTTATAATTTTTTTCACCAATTTATTGGACCTACACGAGAAGACTCAAGAAAAAATCCCTAATGTTGCTATTGAGTCGCATTCAAATTAGAATTTTCAGAGTTTTTAATTAATATCTCAGCTGATTAAAGTCATACAAAGATGAGAATTGTATTGATGGATTCCGATGAATTTTTGGAATCAGCGGATATGCATACCTGCCAACCTCTAAAGATAAAAATTCAGAAGAACACGAAGAATTAATATCATGCTTTGATATTAAAAAAATAACAATTTATACAAATAGAAAAAAGAAAATTGTACTTACATTAGTAAATCTCAATTAAATAGTAACTAAAAATTTATTAGGAAACATAAAACAAGAACTGCAATGAATTTAGAGTGCATTTTTTGGCCTTAGCCAAAAATTCTTTGGAAAATTTCCTGTCATAACAATTAGTTTCCTCATAACATTTAGCAATTAAAATGTTTTCTAGAGTTTTTGGTGAAATTGAAGAACGAAACATAGTTTTGTTTTTCTTCACAACACTGAAGACTCTCGCACTCAGCATTACTGTGTGGAATTACGAGAATAGCACATAAATCTCTTGCTAGTCTTATCATATTTTGGTGTTACATCAGCTCTTTTTATTCTTTTTAAGGTACCAACGAGGACATCAAGTCTATCTTCTCCGAACTGGCAAAGTCTTCAAACTGTGCAGCAGAAAATTGGTTTCTGTAGTTCATCTAAAGCATTAGTATGGCATTCATTTTCTTTAATTGTTAACAAAAATGGAAATTTATCAATAAAAAAACTAATCTTTTCAAAAGATGAATTTTCAATTTGTTTCAAATTTGCCACTTCAGCATTTAAAAACTTTTTCTGCTGCCAAATTAATTAAGTGGCATGGGCAACTAATAACAGTTAATTCATTTTGTTCTTTTTTGAGGAAAGAGGCTACACCCTTTTTGTCACCCACCATGACATGAGCATTATCTGCACCAAATGAAATGCAGTTTGATATTGGGATGTTAAGTTGTTTCAACTCATTAATTACCAAGGAGGCAATATTTCCCCCCGTTTCCTCCATTTAACAATGGAAGACGCAAAAGATAAGTTTTCATTTCATCAGAAACATCACAGAAATATGTGACAACGATGGGGTAAAGCTTCCAATCGCTGTCGTTGCTGCCATCGATTGACACCGAAAATGCTGAATTCTGGAGTGCAGCTATCGTTTTACTTTGTGCATCACAAGCAATTTCGTTCACAATAGAAGATGTTTTCGTGCGAGCACAAGCATATTTCTGAGCAATCTTGGAGTTGGGAAACATCCGACTGAAAAGTTGACCGGCGTGATTGGCAGCGCTTAGCGGCACGTTGTGTTTGATGAGGAATGCAGTAAACAAACACTCTGCCAAAATGACATCGGCATCCGAATTCGTAGCCGAATTTGAAAAAAAAAAAAAAAAAAAAAAAAAATCATCCACTTTCTTTGACATGTGTCCAAGCCGATGGCTTAGTTCATGACGTTGTCGAAGTTAGACTTAACATGCTTTCACAATGGCACTTCTTTCCACCGTGACTTATTATGAAGTCACACACGCACACGTTGCAAAATGGCTAGTTATTTCCTTTGAAATATTTAATTGTTGGAATTGTAGGCAGGCCGAAAATATTGAGAAATACGTTTTTTTTTTTTAACTTATTTTGTAACAACGATGGTATTAAGAAAATTCGTAGCATGTGCAACAGAATTCAAAAGACAAAAAAAAAAAAAAAAAAACCATGCTGCGCAATCTGAGTAATTCCGAGCTCGCTGAGTAATTGCCTTGCTGGTGAAGCGAAACGCGAAAAAAATAATCTGGCGACCACAAGAAAAGAGAGGGAGAGGAGAAACAAGTTCAACGCATTGGATGGCTAGTTTTTAAGCGGCAAGTTGTGAGAAACCACAGGTTACTGGATTCGAAGTAGTAGTTGGCGGAAAAAAAAAAAAAACACGATTGCAATTGGCAAAAATCGCTGATGAAATGGCGAAAAATTCTAAAAATTTCGACAAAAATCACTAAAAACACTTGAAAAGGAAAAAAAAAAAAAATATAAAAATGGATTATGATCGTAAAATCGTAAAGACAAATGAATTTTCATAAAAATTACGAAAAATTCGTAAAAGTTGGCAGGTATGGGATATGTGTCTCGAAATTCAACTAACTGCCGTTCCATAGATATTTGTAAAAATATAAATTGGCGCATAGCCAAATCCCTTTAATAGGGGAAAACCCAACAAAGTGAGTGAAAAATGTAGGGTAAAAGTAGTTTTTAATTAATATTTCGGCTAATTAAAGTTGTATGAAGACAACATTTTATAGCCTATAACCTTTTCTAATATATCAAAAATATTTCTTGAAAATTTCATGATGATCGGTTAAGTAATTCAGGCGTAACAAACAAACTCACATTCGCATTTCTAACATTAGTAAGGATCATGTTCTTCGCACTTATGTCACACAAAATTCCATTCAACGGCAAAATCGCAAAATATTTAAAAACAGCATACCTTTAGAATTTCCGACAGACAGTTTTGCGCACTACAGATAAAAATGTTTTATTCTGTACAGTGTTACCAGTGCACATTTTCAAATTGTTGAGTTGGAAAAATAAAATAATGTTAAACTTCCAGCATGCGCGCAAAATTTACCACAAATTCAGTTTTTAATGCACATTTTTCACATATCGAACCTGAGACGTCTGACTGTCATTTCTATTCCTCCTTTCTACCCTTCCCCACATCAGAGAATGTGCCAACAGAAAGTCATTTGACTTTTTTCTTTTTTACTGGGTATTTGTGCTACATGGCAGCTTTTTCGTAAAAGTTAAAACACGCGCGTGTTCGTAGGTGAAAATTCGGAAAATATTTTTTTTCAAATATTTTGTAATTTTGTATTATTAATTGGCGTGTATTACTTTAATTTGAATACATTTGGCTCCGCAAATTTTACATCAGTTTCAATGCAAAAAATATGTGGAACCAGCTGATTTTGCTCGCATTCTTCAAGAATTATCTGATGAAGAAAAGGAAAACAAAGAAACCTTTGGATGGGAGAAACAACAGCGATTTCAATTCCTTATTTTCTTTTATTTCTATTTTTTAGAAATAAATAAAAAATATTAAAGTAGTTTTTTAAGGGCATTTTTGTAACCAGTAAGAAGTAAGTAATGCTTGCAGAAGTAAGTAATGCTAAAACTTACTATTTTTCCTACCAAGGAGAATTTTAATTTTTTATTTGTCTATACTTGCCTTTGATGAATATTAAAATTAGCTTCAATTTTAAAATATAATTATTAAATAATAATTTAAAATTTGTATTAAAGAAAACATCATTGCATTTCCATCTAACATAACAACTAAAAAAAAAAAAAAAAAAAAAAAAAAAAAAAAAAAAAAAAAAAAAATAATTACTTATATTTGAATGTGATATCATTTGTATTTTGCAATAATAAGATTAATATTTTATTTCTTAACAAATTTATTATCAATATTCACTCATTTCTGTCATTTTTCGTAACAAGAACAGTAAAATAACGGATGTCGTAAAAAAATACGATGCACGCGTGCTCATGTAAAATTACCAAGTGCGCGTGCTGGAAGTTTTATAAAAAATTCATTAAAGTTTAACAAAATATGAAACAAATGATAAAAAATATATAACATCATTCTATGAAAATACTGAGTATTTTTAATTAGACGGATAATGAATTAAATGCATTTTTATTATTTAAATCAATCCAATTCAAAAGGGAAAAAACGAATATTCTTAAGAACTGCATCTGTATTGCTTTCAAATAGCTGAGTTTGTTAATCCACAAGAGAGAGATTCACTTTGAAAGATAAAAATCTTACATTAGACAAATGGCAACAGACTCGAGAGTACAGTGAAACAAAGCATTTATAGTGATTTGACTCATTTTGAGCCTAATAGCTCTGTTTGGGCTATATACGAGAGCCATATTTTTTAGATTTTAAAGTTATATTTGCGCAGGTGTGTTCAAAGTAGTCTTCTCCAGCATCCGAGCACTTTTGTAGATAAATCTTCTAAAGATTAAATGCTTCAAGCCATTAATTTCTTGGAATCAATGAAAAAAAATGCATTTATAGCCTCATCAATCTCATCTTCAGAATAAAAATGAAGCCCAGACAAGTTCTTTTTTAGATTAAAAAATAGCCAAAAGTCATATATAGCTCGACATTGGGTCAACACAGTAGGTGATCTACCATTTTGATGTGTTTTTGTTCAAGAAACTCAACTGCCAATCTTGCTGAATGAGAAGACATATCGTCATGGTAGAGGATTAGTCCTCTAACATTCACTTCTTGAAGAATTTCTGTAAGACACTTATTGGTATACCAGTTAGCTGTGACTGTCTTCTGTCCTTCCAGCTTTGATGGCTTTCACAAGTCCTATACTTCTGAAGAAAACAGCATACTTTTTTCATGACATTACTTTTTTTCATAACACATTGTCTTTTCATCATTGTTGGTTAAGGGCCATACGTGTTAAAAAGTCAGAAATCAGTATAAATGTTTCATCAGTTTTTATTTTAGGAATAATGCATTGTCCACCATCATTAATTTTACGGTTTCTTTAGCACGTTTTGTTGTTTTCTGTTATAGTGAACCAACACAAACTATTTTTTCATATGCAGGTCTTCATGAATAATTTTATGTATGGAAGCAGATCCAGTGCTACGTTCCTTCTCTATTATCTGGGAGGTGCAGCGATTATCAATGATTAACATTTTCCATATGGCAGACACATTATCTACGGCCTTCTTTGTGTTCTTCATCCTGAAGAGAGTTGTGACCTCTATGAAATTCTGTAAACCATATGCATACAGTGGTACGAGATGGAACTTCATTTCCAAATGCTAATTGTAGATGTTGAAAGCATTTTTCTTGATTTAATGACACTTTAAAATTACAGAAAATTATAGCATGATTATGTTTTCCTGCCAACTCCATTTTTCTTTCTGCCTAAAATTTATTCCATGCTAAACTACATGCAACTAACCAATAAAAAAATTGTCTGCTAGTTTAAAATAATTCATATTTTCAAATCTAACCATTACTTTTTTTCTGCCTTTTATCATCTGTACATAGCTGAAAAATTTCAGAGTGACCTTCATATTTTAGTTTTGCTGAAATTTTTAAACTTCCAAATTTAGTTATGTGACCAACACCTTGAGAGGCATTGTTTTAGAGTACTGCCTTTTATATTAATCCACAAAAGCACTAGAGAGAAATTATATACATTGACATTAGACAAAAATATTACCTTTGATTTTATAATATTTCCTTTGGGATCATCAAGTTTTCGTTTCTTTACTTTCTTCTTTTCCATTTTTGTTCTGACGTTTGGAGTGTTATCCTAAAAACACATTCAGATTTTAAGTTATTACAATGCAACACTCACTTTGCCCTAAAATTTTTTGCTTAAATATACTTCTTGAAAAAAAAAAAAAAAAAAAAAATAAATAAATAAATAAATACATAACAAACACACATTCACAAAAAGAGAGAAAATTTTTAAACTGTTCATTTTGCCCCTAGTTGCACAAATAAATTGAAAGAATCTTTACAAAACACACTTAACCCAGTCAGGACCAGTGTCATGTATACGCAACGCAATGATTCTGCTCTACCAGCCCAGCATCTCGTATACGTGACATTAAAATAGAACGATTTATTTGAATTTTCAAAAGCCACTAAATGGAGCTAAGTGGTAATTGTTTTCACATGGGTTGATTCATACGGCATTTTACCTTCATATACTGCCATTAGTTTCTGTTTTGTGCTTCTGGTTTTGAGAGATTTATTGAAATAAACAAACTGGAAATCATGGTTCTTTATAAGTGCACCTGTGAATTAATGGAGCACAGGAGTTTTTGTTTATTTCGCTAGGATTTTCTTTTTCTTTTCTATTTATTTTGAAACTTAACATAAGCTTTCTTGGTTAATTGAAAAGTAACATTACAACGTTATTACGAAAGGGGAAAGACTATCGGCTTTCTCGACGCGTAATGCGTCTTACTCGCTCGCATTTCTCATGAAAGAAGCCAGCTATCTTTGTTTTTCTTACTCGATTTTATAGGCCATTATATATAATGCCTTGAATGGTCATTATATATAATGACACAGGCATTATATTTTGATATAGAATATATTTACTTTACATATAATGTATATATTAATGTGATTAGTAACTGATATCCCACCAGTGGAGGGGGGGGAATCTTTCCTTGATCGCTTTCCAGTCATCGTGGATAATGTTTTTGATTTAGAAAAACACGAAGTTTTCTAATATACACCTGATGTCACACAAGGTTTGAGGATGAAATATTTCTGAGTTTTGTTTGAAGAAGTTTTGAGATGTGTTGGGGTTATATTCATTTTCATTCCATTAGCCATGCCTAAGAGACCTTACTTAAAAACATAAAAATTTGTCCAAAATCACTGGACACACCCACCTTTTCGTCTAACTGGAAGACAGTTTCCAAAAATTTATGTTGACGGAAAAGGTAATAAAGGTAGGAGAAAATGCGTTGTGTGCCCTAAAACCAAGAAAAAATGTAAGCAAACAACGTATTTTGAGTGCGAAATATGCAATGTAGGACTGTGTGTCGATCCTTGTTTCGAATTATTTCACACACCGAAGAATTTTTAAATTGGAATTTAATTACCTACAGGTAAAGTTTTGTATTTGTAAAATTTTCTTTATGTTTATAGTATTTATTCCTGTGAGTATAGTTATGATTTTAGTATTTTGCCTGTTAAATTTATTTCTAGTAATGTGATATTCTTTATACAAGGTTCATACACATTTCTGCACACGGAAATTAAGGACTTTTAAGGACCATTAATGAAAAAATTAAGGACCTATGAGCAAATGGGAACCGAATAAATTCAATTAAAAATATTATTCTATGCCTGAATTTCACTTTTGTAATCCCATCCTAAAAATAAAATAGATCCCTAAGTAGTATGCATTATTACTAAACATGAATTACTTAACATAATTATCAATAAGTTTGAGAATAAAATAAACTTCATGCAGTTTATCAAGTACACTTCTAATTTTACACTTCTAATAGGTTGGACATATTTGAAAGAAGATAAGTGACATTTACGTTTTACTAATAGTTAGCTTTATGTTGATTTTTTTTATGTCTCATTTTGTCACATACTTAAAGTTTAGAGCAGAGGTTCTCAATTGGTGATCACAGTCTAGAGCAGAGGTTCTCAATTGGTGATACGCATACCACTGGTGGTACGCAAGGAAAAATAGGTGGTACACAAAGAAGCAAAGTATATTTAACCATTTATTTCAAAAATTAAAACCCCAACATCTTGATTGAAGTTTTTTCTCTAAGACTATTAAATTTATGCAATATGAGCTTTGTTCAAGAGTGGTGGTGGTAGTAGTACTTTGTAGTGGTGGTACTAAAGGTTTTCAATTTTTGTTTAGATGGTACACATTAATAAAAAGGTTGAGAACCGCTGGTCTAGAGATTTAGTAAATAAAAGGCAGATTTTATGTCAAACGGCATAAGTTAAAATGAGAAGTAAGATCATAATCAGCATGATTCATAACAAAAGACTGAATATTGTCACTGCTTGTCTAGAGAGAGACCTGTTGATTAGAACAAACCTGAAAGGCCTGATGTAGGCACAGTTGGCAAGTGCTGAAAGTTAATCAGGCTCTGTTTGAAGCAGTTAGTGTCATAGCTTTATGCAGAATTCCAGGGATTGTAACCCAATTAATATACTTTAAGGTCCCAATAAGCCATTAAAGCACCAGAGGTGATAAGTTGTTTTGTATTATTTTAAGTCTCACTAGATGCAAAGAATAAGTTTTACTTGAATTTCTACATTTTTGTGTTTTATCTTGTGACCACAGTGAGAGTATTAATGAAAAGCAATAACTCGTTTTAATATGTAGAGATAATCTTTAAGGGTAAGCAGTTAGTTATAAATAACTAAATTAGGTAAACAGGTAACCTTAGTCATTATGGATTTATATGGCCACTATTAAATTTTATTTTTTAACAATATTTGTTAAAAAAAAGCCCTATTAAAATCAAAATCTAATAAAATTTCACAGTTTAAAATACATGTAATTTATGACACTGATTCTTAAAGGATATTAGAGTAATTACACATTAAAAGCTACAAAGCATTTACGTTTTGTAACAACACTCAACATAATATTTATTCGTCATTTTGATTTGAAGCTTTCCCAAACATTTTGGCTAGTTTATATCGATTTCCTTCTCTTTAAGCATCTTTTCTAACAATAACTAGAGAATTGTCTCAATATGCAAACCAATGCTCTCGCTAGTTTCTGTGTGCTTTATCTCCTAACTCGTCAACCTCTCCACAATGCACCTATGAGGGTTTACTTGATCTGGTAAAAGTTAACTAGTCCAAAACTCCCGATAGACGAAGCAAATTATCACTATACCTGAAAGTAACTACAATATCAGACAAAGGTTTAAATAAGCCTCTTATTTAAAAAGAACTTAAACCAAACATAAAGACATGTTCTGATGCTAAAAAGTCAATTACATCTCATGGTGACGTAATTAAACAAGAACAGTCAAATCCAAACTAAAAATGTGGAGTAGTGGTCAAAGATTATACAATTTAATTAAAATTTAATCTGGCTCAGTAAGAGGAAATAGAAATGGAAAATTATAGTAAAGGCTGAAATCATAAACAATTGGATAATTTACATAATAATAACTGCACGTATCTTTGAAGAATAATTTTCTTTATGTATTCAGTTTCTTTCTTCAGCATGTTTCCATTTCATTTTAAAATTTTTGGATTTAATTATGGATTTATATAAAAAAAAAAAAAAAAACACTAAATACATTTAGAATATATAGAAAAAGTGACTAATTTAATTTCTTTAGTAATGTGAAATTCAAATGAAATCTGAAATATATATGGTAAAGGAGGGTTAAAGAGCTAGTGTGGCAGATTTTTTAGAATTTAGGGACACACCAAACAACAAAATCAAGAAATCGCAAAACTTTTAAAATTTAGAGCAGGCATTAAAAGCAGAATTTAGAAAGGCCGTAAGATTCTCCACTGTGTAATCTAAGTTACAGTGAAAAGTGAAGAATCTTAAGAACTAGCAAATGAATAATGGCTTGAGTTCGTGAGACAGTGCATAAACTTGGAAGACCCTTTACTATTCAAATAAAATTTAACAGAGCTCCATCTTGGAGTTGTACAATAAAGCCAACACTCAGACTTGAATTTAAGAGACTAAGAATTAAACTAAACTAATCTTAACTAAAGAGATATAGCTGAAGCTTTCAAAATTCTAAGAGAGATGACCCCTTAACGCTAATTGACTGCGAAGCTATCAAGGGCCTAAAGTTCAGCCGAGCATAATAATAGCTTGCGTAATAATAGCTTACGAGAGTGTAGCTTAAAAAGGCGGACACGTGCTAGCCAAAACACCTGGTATCTCTCTCACTAAGACAATAGAATTTTGCGATTAAATACACTCTTCCTCATTAGCATTCAGATGTGATTCTAAAACTACGTTCTGGACAGAAGTGATAAGTTGAAATTAAGAAGCGATAAGAAAGGAAGTTTAACTCAAAATTTAACTGTTAATAAAATTAGCATAATCTTAAAAGTGCAGTCGAATTTAGGAGAGGAGGATCCTTACAAGTACAGTCGAACACACTATGCAGTCGAATTTAGGATCCACAGACACTGCGTCAGATGGAAAAATGCCTAGTGCCAGCTCTGTGTATGATGCATTAAGACCTATTAGATGGATCTTTTAAATTGAAAGTTTTCAATTCTTTTATTAATAAAAAAATCCTTTTCTATAATGCCTGCCCAAGTGATAAGATTAGAAGCATTTTTGATATGTTCCACGCTTGTCTCTAGTGAAAAGTAGTGAAAATAAAGGGAAGATAAACATGTTAAGAAAAATCAGGAGTAAAACACTCAAATATTGTTCTTCATTCTTCTTCCAGACCTTCTCCAAAAAGTAAGAAACTCATCGCAAACTTTCTGTAAAATACATCCATTACGCGTTGATACCATGGAGACATTTTTCATTTTATCACATATTTCTTGAATCTTCTAGAATCAAGGGTCTATAAATCTTGCCTTCAAATCCTTCTAAATTTTCCAAGTTGCAATGTCAAAAATACTAAAGGAATATTATCCCAACCATTTCTATAACAGCAAAAGGCCAGAAATATTTTGGGGGAAAAAAAAAGGAGGGAAAAAGTGTAAAATTAATTTTATAGAGAAAACTGATGCTTATTTTGAGAATTTTAATATTCTGAGACAATTGCATGGGAAAAATGCTTACTATGAAAAAATTAAAAGAAAATATTTTTAATAATTACATA